GTTTTTCACAATTTTTGACTTATTTTGAAGAATATCTAAATTCCATTTCTGTTTGTGGGAGACAAGAAGCGCTGAAAGTTAGTTTCTCTGGTTTATCGTTCCTGTCCCTTTCCACGCTGAAATTCAGGATTCAACGAAGCCAAAATATTTGAATGATTTTCTTAATGTCTTATACATAATATTAGTTATATACTAAGATTAATTTCTCTTCCTTTGTTTACTTTCCAGTGCAGGCGTTTTGAATTTGTTTTCTTGTTTGTGTTGACAAGCTGCAGCCTGCATTCAAGTGAGTTGCTATTGTGGGCTCTATCAGATGAGATGGTATGTGAGTACAATTTCATGTTATCTTTTATTTATTACCAGCATTTACCTTTCCAAATGTCATGAAAATTGACAACTGCTTATTGAAGTATAGAATGAGGACTGTAGTTTATGTTCCACCACAAAATTTATAAGTCACTCGATTGATCCTTGTTGACCTAGAAAAGGATTTAGATCATTATTTTTGCGATGTCTACAACTTCGTTTTAACATTTGATGAAATACTCACTGACAAATTGACTTTGGATGTATAAATTCTAGCTTTTTTCGTAACTTTAGTTTTTATAGTATAGAAGATAACACATATGGAGCCTTCCTTTCTAGAAGTTTTGGCTATTGACATTGACAAAATGTTTCTTCCTCTTCTTCTCCTCAACATGGACCCTCTGAACTTGAAGGTTTTTCTCTTTGTTCTCCTCCCATTCATTCTCTCTTGCTTACAGAATCCTACTCTATTCAAAGACGATTTCCTAGTCCTCAAGAGACATCTTCTTTATTGTGTTTTAGAGGTTCTTTAACATCTTTCTGTGATGGAGGATATGATGATAACTTCATGGGGTGGTTAAGTTTATATTTCTCAAAACCTTCATGATTGACTATACTTCATGTAACCCATTGTTAAATTGAAATTCCTTAGTGCTTCGTCTTTACGTATTCTCAAGTTTCTATTACAACTCCTTCAGTGTAGACACCTTCTGGGAAGCATCAAACATGTTTGGTATATTGTACTCGACTAGACAAAGAACTAGCATATCACACATTTCTTCTTAATTTTGTCCCGTCCTATCAAATTTAGCGTGCAAAGTATGTCAAAAGTGTATCCTACATTCCATGCAGAATATGATTTGTACAAGTTAGTTATTCTCATCCCTTTCTGCCTTGTGCGTGTCTCTGCAATACATGCTTTGCAGGTTTAGTACAGGAACAACCTTGAGATTTGCGATGAGGAAATGCATATTTTATGCCAATGCATGAAGTTGCCTCCATGAGTAGACAAACTTTGTCTCCAAATAATATTTTTCTATCATTGTGTTCGGCTCATCACTACATATATGCAAAGTCCAACGCAAATCCTTGGCATCTAATCTTTTGACACATTTTATTGAGATCACATCGCTCTTATAACCTAGAACTTCTTTAGGTCTTTGCAAATACCTATTCTAATCACTGACTTCGTGCTCTTATTTTATCTTTGATTGGTACCATTCGTAAGACACTGAGTTCACATCAATTTCAATCGCGCTAAGCATCTTGAAGACCAACACGTCCCAAAAGATGCTCAATAGAGCACCCCCTATTCTACACACAATACATCGTGTTCTACTAGTACTGTAATGACCCAGCCAAAGCAAGTCAAAGAATCAAGATAGAACATGATCCGTCGTTACTCCACATAAGGCTTCATTCCCGACTTTTCACTTCATCTAAATATTTGATAATTGACACTTCTTATTCATGTTTTGGTTATTCTTGTGATGAGTTTAAATTTAATTGAAAAATCACTATGTCTCTATCTGATATGTCATATATTTACGGACTTGAACCCAACGCAACTCAAATTTTCTTACTAGCTAGAGCTTGAATAGGGGGAAATAAGTATCCAGCCTCGATGATCCAACTTTTCACCCATGGACGCACTACTGTTCGACTCCTCTTAAAACAAAATAATTTATTTTCAATTCACATAATAAAATATATTGTACGTAAGTTAATTTATTTTTCTATTTTTTAACGGTACGTTTTTCAAAATATCAATATTCAAAAACATTATTTTTTTGAATCCCACACGTCAATCCACACCAATTTATACGAAAGTGAGAAAATTTCCCTATCGCAGTTAACCATTGAAAACACAACCTGTGAAAGTGTGAATCTTGCCTCTCTTGATATGTCTGCTGTTCATCAATCTATGATCTCTCTTGCTGCATCGAAGTCTTCGTAATGTGTGGAAATAAAAGTTTTCATTTATACGTCTCCTTTCGCGCTGAGGACTGTTTATTCTTTTGTTTTGTACTGGTAAAGCTGAAAGAACCCACGTCACCAATTCAAAACCCTCTGTAATCTTCAAGCATCACAACCATGATATTGATCCAGTACTAAAGACAGTTAAATCTCTCAGACCATTGATGTCAAACGAATGCTGAACATGTCTCCAAGTTATTTGGCTTGCGCCAGTTCAATTTCTTGAAGACTTGCAGTTTTGCATTAGAAATAAAATTTCATTGTTGCAGCATGGACAAACCATCAAGGGAAGGAAGTCAGCAACACTAACATTAGCAATACCGGCGCAATCTTTGCCAAACTATCATTTTCCCTTTACCATCACCCATGGCATCCGACTTCTCAATTTGCCCACTCCAGTTAATACAAACACTTTTATCTTTCGCCAGAAAATGCTATTATACTTTACAGCTGCAGTGCAATCATGGAAAATAAATTATGATGTAAACCTTGAGTAGGCAAAAACACAGTAAAATTTAGATTTCTATAGAGAGCAGGGGGCGGACCCAGCACCCGGCGAGTCCGGGCGGCCGCCTGTGCTGGATTTGTCGGAACAATTTTTTTGTTTTCAATTTTAATTGGATTTTAATCTTTACCAAACGAGCACTAAATAGGATAAGGAGAGGAGAATCGAAACCTTGACATCTCCTTTGGTTATTGAGAACTTCCATTGTGGCATTTGCTAATTTGAAATTAAACTAACCAGAATGATATATTTTACATTTTATTGGGTTTAATGCAATTCTAAAAATTTGATTACGTGTTCTTCCTTTGAATTATATAAAACTTGGCCACAATACCATTTGGTGAATATTGCTAACTTTTACAACAAAATTATATATATTTAGTTTGAACAAAATAATTGTTATATTTAAATTTTAGACCTTGTTTGATTTTTCTTTTTTTTCAAAATATATTTTTTTCTCTTCTTTCAACTACACATTTTTTAATAAAATAATATTACATGCAAATTCAAAAATTTCAATAAAATAATATTACATTCAAATTCAAATTTATTTCTTATTTTTAACCTCATATTCTCTATCAAATTACTATTCCAAAATACACTTTTTGCAAAAAAAAAAAAGAAAAAAAAGAGGACATCAAATGGGGCTCTTAATATTTTATTGCTGAAAATGGTTGACGATCCACGGCCGCCCGTGCTGACTCAAAATCCTGGGTCCGATGGAGAGTCTGGTGGAAAATAATATTTTGGGTGGGTGGGTGGATTTATGTAATGAAATTCAGTACTTAACTTTACATCAAAATAGAAAGATAGAGAGAGAGTCTCACCGTCATACTTTAATTGCCAGCCTGGACGGGGTTCCTGCCCACTGGAAGCTGAATATCGGGTACTTATCCTAGCTGCATGTTAGGATTAACTTCTATTCATTACTTTAGGTAACTTCGAAACCAGAGATTACTTGAGTTACTTTATCCTAAATATAGGCAACAAATTCAGAGTTTGGCGGTGTGTGCATATTTTTGTATTCAGTTTTGGGGTGGTTTGATTTTTCTTTCCAAGTCAATTTTGACTGGATTCCAATGCAGACATTTGCATTTGATTTTTGTTGTTGAAATGCTGCAGCTCTTCCGGCCAAGAGTAATGGGTATATTCGAGTGGATTGCTATGGAGGACTCAATCAGATGAGGAGGGATGTGAGTACCTCGTCACATTATCTATTGGTTATGATTGACTTCCCCTTATCACTTTTTTTTTCTTTTTTCCATTTATTATTTTAATTCACTTTCGATCTGATGATTGTAGTTGTGTGATGGTGTTGGAGTTGCTCGCTTGCTGAATGCTACTCTTGTTTTGCCCAAATTTGAAGTAGCTGCATATTGGAATGAATCCAGGTAAGCAACGGTTGTGAGTTTATGGACAAAGGACTATTCCTTTGCATTTACAGGATTTTGTAACTGATGTAGTTTAAGTAGGGTTACTTGGATAGTATTATCTGGGTTTACATCTTCAATTGCTTTTGCGATTTGCACTCATCCGAAGCAAGCAACAGTAGCCTAACTTATTATTTCACCATGCAGTGCATTTGGAGATGTATTTGATGAAGACTTTTTCATCCAACAAATGACCAGCTTTATCAAAGTAGTAAAAGAGTTGCCCGCAGATTGCATCAAAAGAACCTTTTCATGTTGATTGTAGCAAACATAAAGGTTTATACGAGTTTATGACTATGTTGTAAGTGCACTTCCTTCCCTTTTGAAGCATCGTTATATTTCATTCATGCCAGCAATGAGTCAAAAAAGGGATAGGTACCACTGTGTATTCTTGAATTTCTTTGTTTTAGTAAAAATTGTCTAATCATATTTAACTAACTTGTAACAGAGTTCTAGTCAACCTTGTTTTCTTCTCCGGTCACTTATTCTTGCGGATGAACAAATTATATTTATTCTCTGTTATCTTGTTCTATTTTATGTTGTCTTGTCTTGGGTTGGGTTGGGTTGGGTTGTGGTTGTTAGGGTGGGTTTGGTGGTTACAATCTTGATGATCTAAAACCGTGAGGACTTTCATAATGAATTCGAAAAAATTAAGTTCATTGCTGATCTATTCCAGATAATTGCCCTTAAACCGGCTTTTTAGTGGAAGATTACCTTGGACATAAATGACAATTCTGGCTATGATGGTAGAAATATAGATTATTTATTTATATATCATTTTTGGGTAGAAGGGGCATGCTGAACTGCTCGGACATATTGTGCCACATGCTTTCACTGAGTTCGTGCTCTTTAATATGCATTTGCTTTTTGCAAGATGTGTTCATCGATTCCAGAGTGCTTATAATAATTCATTATGTAGGTATCCACTGTATGCCAAAACTGCATTCTGCCACATATGTTATAATGCTCTGCGCTTAACCAGCACGTTGGAGAAGAAAGCGTCTGAGCTTCTAGAAGCTATACCTAAGTCCTTCCTTTCACTTCACCTTCGGTTTGAACCCGACATGGTAGCTTACAGTCAATGTGAGTACTCTAATCTTTCTCCTGCTTCTATGCAAGCCATAGATGCAGCATGAGGAGACCGGAAAGCCTGGACTGGAGAACAGGCTCATATATGGAGAAACCGGGGTAAGTGTCACCTCACACCAAATGAAACCGCCCTCATCCTTGAAGCTCTTTCTATCCCAACGGACACAAATATATATTTGGCAGCCGGGGATGGCATGATGGAACTCGAAGGGTTAACTTCAGTCTACACAAACGTTTTTACCCAGTCAACCTTTCATAGTGTTGAGGACTTTGCAAACATGCATGTCCATCAGCAGTGATTCATATGTGGCCACTTATTTCCGAAATATGGATAAAATGGTTGCAGCAATGCGTGCTTTTGAGGGATTACCGAAAACACTTTTCTTAAGCCGAAGGGGTTTTGCTGTGTTAACGTCTCAGGGGGGAAGGCACCGCTTGAAGCCCTGTGGAAGTTCATAGAGATGATTTTGTAATGGGTGTAGGGTCTGCTTTACCTGACTGCTTTTGTGAATTCGAGTTATGAGGTTAATTTCCTAAAATTCATATTCCTTGCATAAGCATGCCTTGTGTTAAACTAGTAACATTTTTCCGAAGGGATTGTAATAATTGTTTCTCATTCAATAATTGCTTTTGTGAGTTCAAGTTACGGGTTTTATTGGTGTGAAGTCACCTCTATGGTAGAATCAATATTTCAAAGTCAAATGGTTAGTTAAGAGTTGTAAAGATTTTATTAGATTTTAAGTAGTGATACTTAGCCTGCGAAATGCGTAAATATTAAGAGAGTTTAGCCCTTGTTTGGGATCCATTACACCAAGAATATATTTTTTCAAAATTCATTTTCAATTTCACATTCTTCAGAAAAATAATATTACACGTAAATTCAAATAAAATTCTTACTTTTTAACTGCATATTCCCTAAAAAATTATTATTCCAAAATTCATTTTTCTCAAAATCTCATTTTAATGGAACCCAAACAAGGGCGAAAGTAGATAACATCATGGGTTAGTTAAGAGTCGTAAAGCTTTAATTAGATTATAACTTGTGAACTTAGTCTACAAAAATGTGTAGATACTAAGAGAGGAAAAGTGGACAAGATCGTGCATGTGTGATAGAGTTTGATCAACTTATAAGTAATTATAAACTTTGTCAAGCATGCACAAAGGATTAGAGTGATTCAATTCTATTTGCATTTTGATTATAAATTTTCATATTCTTGATCAAATTTACAATAATTGGCCTAATACTTGATCTACTCTATGAAAAGCAATCGTGTCTAGATCACTCAACATAAGCTTAGGAGTAACATACAGTTTGTTAAGGTAGAGAATTAATTCAATTGTTGTAGTGTTAATAACTAATATCTTACGAACCCATTTCGATTTTTACATTCGATATTGGATCTCCTGATTTATACAAATTGTCGTCTACAAGGACCTTTTTACTAAAAAAATACAAATGCAAGGATCCAAATGCAAAAAGATTTAAAAGAGTACCTTAATGTGAATCGTACCCAAGAAATGTTGACAAATTGACAAGGAGAATTTAAGAAGAGTCCACTTGTATTCTCTTCACCCGAGCTTTCAAAGATATACCGACCCTAGGTATCTGAACATCCAACACCAGTAGTCCTTTTTGAAGAATTCTGACATTTCGGGGTCCTGACTCTGACCTCTTAAAGTGACTAGATCGACAAACCTGCTTACCTTCGAATGTAATTTCGCTTAACATAGAGTCATAGAGATGAAACGGTATCCAAAATCCGACAATATCCAGGCAATTCAGCATTCCTTTCTTTTGCATTAATAAAATCTCAATTATTTTCATTTTATTGTATGTACAATTTATTTTCCAAAAAGCTGCATATATTCTTAACCATGATAGGCATGCAATCAGAACAAATATTGATGATTGAGCCTATTACCAAAAAGGCCAAAGAATATTACATTTCTAGCACTCAAAAAATTATCTAGCACTCAAAAAATTATCAACTCTTTCCGATTTGGATTCCTAAAATACTTCTCCGAGTCTGGAATTCTCTCGTTCCACTGTAATCAACTGCTTTATAAACCATGAACTGATCTGTGGTCGTGATCTTCAGCCACCAACGATAAGACAGATATACGCCATTGACCTCTCAGTCAGTCAAATAATGAACCCAAAATTTCAAAAAAGGTGCAGAATTTATGCCCTGCATAAGAAATGGAAAAATATATTAACTCACTTAAGGTTGTTAAAGCATATCGTTGCAATAGAAATGGAGATAGTACTTTGTTTAATCTTCTTGAACTTTGCTAACTTATTTTCTGTTTATTCATTCTCTGTTACATTTCAGGGAATGGAAGCACAATGATAATACCTTAAAGAGTTAAAACTTCATTATAATTCGGACAATCATTGATAATCTGTTAATCATCTATCCCTCCAGCAGCCGAACTAAAAATGATTTATCTGATTCCCACTATAGATATTAACTGAACGCAAGAGAGAACTCGAAATTTTTAAGGCAAAAATGGGTAAGGTCAAGTCGAGGTGCATATGGCACGAAAAGGAAATCCAATTTCGGGTAAGAATATAAAGTCTAATCTTTTATCATAGCATTCATTCCTCTCACTTCTTTTTCTTGAAAAAATAAATCAATTTCCACATATTGAAAACAAAACATGTAAACTGTTTCTGTTGAATCGTGCCCATTCTTTGCCACCATATAATAGGTAATTCTAAATGAGAATTTGAAACTATTCCATGAGTTTCAATCCAGTAAAATCCTCTGTTAATTCGGCATGAGTGATCCATACAGACACAGAAAAGAATGATTCACTAATAGTACATTTTTCACAGAAGATACCAAGGAATTGATCTGTACAAAGATATTACTTATTTTCATGACATCAAGGATCTTGGCAGTACTGCGTGTTCCAATGCTTTAGATAATAACAATTAATTTGTCAGTTACCATATAGGATTCCTCGTGTGAACTGAGTTTTTGTGTATGCAAGTATCTTGTGCATCTATGTGCACAATGGTATGAAAAAACCCTGTTGAGGCCCGCCTCACTGTGAGGCACAGCTTCTGCGCCTCGAGGCTCAATCTGTGAGGCACAAAAACTGCGGCGTACGCCTCTACATCTGAGGCAAAAAAAATGAGGCGTGCGCCTCATATGAAGTATGTTTTTTTTTTCAGGTTTTTGAAAAGGAATNNNTCTCTTTTCTCCTTTGCTTCTGCCTTCTTCTAGTGACTTACAATTTAAAATTGTTTCACTAGACTTTACTTGGTTTTTTTTTGTTCAGTGCATCGCCACCAGATTGCACCTATTTTGTTCGGCAGATTGCACCTGTTTTGTTTGTGGTGAGGCTTACGCCTCGCCTCATTACAAAAAAACGCCTCGGTACCCATTTACGTTTTTTCAAACTATGGTGCACATGCATGAAATTGTAAAGATGACCTCACTCTCAGAATCCACTCCATGTATTTTCAATGTATAGCTTAGTTTCATGTACCCAATTTGACCAAAGGACTAATAGTTGTTTGATAATCACAAGTACATAGGCGCGTGCAGCCAAGTAATAGCAAAACTAACCATTAGTCGGCTTAAGTTTTCAAATTACCAAGTGATGTCGGTAAGTGCACTAAATGAAGCGTCAATATTACAAATAGGCATGAAGATGCAAAGCAAAGAGAACATTGATTGATGGGACATAAACTTGCAAACAAAGATATACAGACATCATTGAAGTTACGAAAAATAGAGAAAAAAATTATTTCATTACAACTTACCAAAACTTAGCTGATTCCTCTCCTCTTCCATTTCACCATGCACGTTGTCAAGGCAGTACCCCAAATTAATTGAAGATTATTGCATGTCTTCACTGCTGAGTGTAATCCTCAAAGGAGCATCTCCCATCAACTTTCATTCGATATAAATGAATTAATCATACAGAAAGTGTTATAACTGCTGCTTAACCTCCATATCTTTTTATGCGATGCACTTCACCTTCCAATGTTCTAATTTAACTACGCAACAATTTGGATTTCATAATACTGATTTGATCACCAGAAAAAGGAGGCACCCTTTTCTGAGCCAAGAGAAAAATATATTTAGCCTTTTCAAGTTTGTCAAGTTTTCCATCCTTCCTCAGGCCTTCAAGCAGCTTATAGATGCTATCCACATTAGGATACCAATTCTTTTGCATGCTTTCTTTACAAAAAGTGTATGCCAAATCAAATTTACCTGCTCGACAAAGATAGTGGATCATGGTCTGATAAATCTTTTGATTGGGCTTGTATCCTTTATGGCAAAAAGCATTATAAACTCTCATCGCCATTTCAAGATATCCAGCACAGCTAAAGCCTTTAATCACCAAATTATATGTTATCTCATCTGGACATATCCCATTGCAATGCATCAAAGCCAATAATTTGTTAGCATCCCAAGCTCGCCTATTATTTACTAAGAATTGAATCCTGGCATTGAAGGTTGCCACATTAGGAAGACAACCCTTTAGTATCATAAGATTCCATAGTCCATTGGCAATCTCACATCGGTTTGCCTTGTAAAAGGCTGCTATTAGTGTTGTATATGTAATCACATCAGGGCTTATTCCCAGCTTTTCCATCTCAACCATGATCAGATAAGCTTTATCCAATATACCCATTTCACAAAATGCTTTGATAACAATATTAATAGAAAACACATCTAGCTCTATGCCAAAGCTGAAAGGCACATCTCTAAGAAAAGATTCAATCGCCTCCAAATCACGGGATTGAGTCAAAACCTTCAACGCAGCATTAAACGACTTAACAGTCCTCTTACAACTATACAAATGCATATCATAAAATGTATTAACAGCATGCTTAATCATTCCAGCCCTCCCATACAACATTATAATTCGAACAATGAATCCTTCTCGATGGCCCTGTGGCAAAGTCTTCTGATGGTCCAGCAAATTCTCAATGTAATCAAACCTACCAGCACCAGCTAATCTAGAAACTGTATCCTCAAATGCAAATCGATTTTCAACAACAACCTTATTGTGGGCATTGGCCTTAAATAAATTAAACAACTTTTCGGGGTCCGTTTCATTCTTCAACTTAACTAGTGCTGGCTCATCTATTTCAATAGGTTTTCGCATAATATTCGAATCCCCACTATTCCTAGCAGAAAAGACCTTGTCAATAGACGGCTCAACAGCAGCAATATGGAGCGTGGTACCAAATCTGCGAAACAGTCGCAGAGAGAGCATGATCTGATACTACCCCCAATATTTCAAACATACCCACCAACCAAAATCAACATTTCAGCAAAATCTTCAATTCCCGCCCACTAAAAAGCATTAAAAATTCAAAATCCAAGTAGCCCATAATACATTCTTTATTGCAGCTCAATATATGAATCCATCAACCAATAAAATCAATCCAATGCTAGTTTAAAATCCCAGAAATCCATCCACCAAATACATTACTTCACAACAAACCCAAATAGGGTTCTGGGAAAATGAAAATGCGTATCAGAAATTACAAGAAATATGGGTATTACGGAGGAGATAGCCTGTATTACAATCGTTTTCGAGAGAGAATAAAAATTACCTATAGAGAGTAAAAGCTCGATTTCATGCATACAGTCTGATGTGTGGTGAAGTCTTTAGGAAATATTGCGTGTGTGCGTTGGGTGTGGAAGGGTTTGCGTCATGGGGGTTTCTAGGTTAGGGGGGTTTTCGGCCCTGTGACGGTGAACTATTCTTGTTAAATTAGAGATAATTTATTTTATTTTTTTTAAATAAGAAAAACTATTTTTCCTCCCTTCGAACAAAAGTGCACAGAGTTCTTAATTAAAAAAAAAAAAAAGTATTGTGTGCTGATAAAAAATAAAGAAAATTTTTGAGTTTGTGAATAGTATTATTTTATTTAAAAATGTGTAATTAAAAAAATATATATATATTTTTAAAAATAATAAGGATGACATAAAAAATAATAGGGATAAAAAATTCCAACAACTCTACACTCGTTATCACGAAAGATTAATGTTGGGACAATATCTAGCACGGAAGGCAAGAGGAATACATCGAGATGGACTCGACATTCAAATTTATAGGTTAATTGTTTCGTCAATGATCAAACTTCAAATCATATCCCTGACTTCTAACTGAACTTTAAATTATTGTTCAAACGTTACTAAATTTTTAAAAATGTTCCATATTCATCACCCATTATGAGTATTGATTACTCCATAACTCAGATCATATTCGTGGCTTCTAACCTAACTTTAAATTTATAACTTTACATATGTGAAAAATGCTTCATATTCATAATAATTCGTTCGTTGAACATAATATAACTATTCGGGCGGCGAATATCAAGGGTTTGTTTGATTCTCATTGTTATTAAAATATTTTTTTTTCAATCACACATTTTTCAATAAAATAATATTACGAGCAAATTTAAAATTTTTTTATATTTTAATCACACATTCTTTATCAATTTACTATTTCAAAATGTATTCTTAAAAGATAATGAGACTAGAATATGTTCTAAATTATCTCAATCAAGTATGACCTTATCAAAAAATGTGATTTTAAAATGTAATTTTTTAATTTTTATTTGTGAAGAAGAGTGTACTAGAACATACGGAATCACGGATGATATATTTTAAAAGAATAGTGTACTCTCCACGAAGTCTCAGAGCTAGGGTTTATTGTGCGACTCTCTCAAAAAACTCTTCGACAAATCAAATCAACGCTCGAAATCGACAGAAATGGCAGCTACGGCCGTGGCGAAGACCAAATCCACCGAGACTTTCGTTGACAACAAGCGTAAGGATGATATTCGGATGGCCAACATTGCGGCGGCGCAATCGGTGGCAGATGCCGTCCGTACGAGTCTTGGACCGAAGGGAATGGACAAGATGATTTCTACTTCCTCAGGAGAGGTCATTATCACCAACGACGGCGCCACTATTCTTAATAAGATGGAAGTTCTCCAGCCGGCAGCAAAATTCCTCGTTGAGCTTTCGAAATCGCAGGATGTTGTCGCTGGAGATGGGACGACCACTGTTGTTGTTATAGCGGGTGCTCTTTTGAAGGCGTCTCTTACTCTTTTATCTGCTGGCATTCACCCGACGGTTGTTTCGGATGCCCTTCACAAGGCTTCGATTAAAGCTGTGGAGATTTTAACGGCTATGGCGATTCCTGTGGAGTTATCGGATCATGATTCACTGGTTAAGTCAGCCTCTACTTCTTTGAATTCCAAGGTTGTGTCTCAATACTCTTCTCTTTTAGCCCCATTAGCTGTTGATGCCGTGCTTTCTGTAGTGGACCCTGCTAAGCCTGATATAGCAGACTTAAAAGATATTAAGATTGTGAAGAAATTAGGGGGAACTGTTGACGATACTGAATTGGTTAAGGGGCTGGTTTTTGATAAGAAGGTGAGTCACGCAGCAGGGGGGCTGACCAGAATGGAAAATGCTAAGATTGGGGTGATACAGTTCCAGATATCACCGCCTAAAACTGACATAGAGCAAAGCATTGTGGTGTCTGATTATACACAGATGGATAGAATTTTGAAGGAGGAGAGGAACTATATTTTGGGTATGATTAAGAAGATTAAGGCAAGCGGGTGTAATGTGCTGCTGATTCAGAAGAGTATTTTGAGGGATGCGGTGACAGACTTGTCACTACATTATTTGGCCAAGGCAAAGATTTTGGTGATTAAGGACGTCGAGAGGGATGAAATTGAGTTCATTACCAAGACTTTAAATTGCTTGCCAATATCAAACATTGAGCATTTCCGGGCTGAAAAGTTGGGGTATGCAGATTTGGTGGAGGAAGTGTCGCTTGGGGATGGTGGAAAGATGGTCAAAATCACAGGGATTAAGGATATGGGGAGGACTACCAGCGTTCTTGTCCGTGGATCAAACCAGTTGGTGCTTGATGAGGCAGAGAGAAGTTTGCATGATGCACTGTGTGTGGTTAGGTGTTTGGTGAGTAAGAGGTTTCTAATTGCAGGCGGTGGTGCTCCTGAGATTGAGCTGTCAAGGCAATTGGGTGCATGGGCTAAGGTGCTGCATGGGATGGAAGGGTACTGTGTGAAGGCATTTGCTGAGGCTCTTGAGGTTATTCCATATACATTGGCAGAGAATGCAGGTTTGAACCCGATTACCATTGTGACTGAGCTGAGGAATAAGCATGCACAGGGCGAGATCAATGCAGGGATCAATGTGAGGAAGGGACAGATCACAAATATTATGGATGAGAATGTGGTACAACCTCTACTGGTTAGCACAAGTGCAATTTCCTTGGCCACGGAGTGTGTTCGAATGATTTTGAAGATTGATGACATCGTTACTGTGAGGTAGAGTGGTTCAGAACATGGAAACATTGGATGGTTAGAGAACTGTTCTTTTTTTCATGTTGTCTTTTGATTTATGTGCTTTTAAAAATTAGTGTTTTCTGTACTATTTTGGATTTGGATGCATTTTATATGAGTTATGAATATCTTGATCTTCCATTGGCTAATGTTGAATATGGATTTTTATGGCTTTGCTCGATGAAAATCTTGTGCGAAGAAGAATTAAGCACAGCCATTTTTCCCCCCTATATCCATTTGTTTCTCCAATGTTACTTTCTCATATCACTCGTTTCAGTCTTGCTTATTATTGACATTTTGCTTCTTTTTTCATCACTTTCCTTTTGGGACTAAGGACGGACAATGGTAGTGGCATTTGATGCTACACCGAGGAACATTTCTATAGAAGCAGTATCTAGAGCATTTTTTGCTAAGCTTAAAATCCAATTAAAATTGAAAATATAGCCGTTATTGGTCTCACTGGTCTAATAAACGTCAACAATAACGGCTAGTTTTTCAATTTTAATTAGATTTTAATATCTACCGAACACGTCCCTAATATCATATTATTTACGCTACAATAACACAGTAAAATAGCAATCATCTGATGGCCTTCTAAAAGAATAAAAGTTCTAAGTTGGTTGCAGCTAATAATGATTTATTTGAATCACATTCCTCCCACAAAATGGGAGGGCGACTCCAACCCTTGCACCAAATATTCGGTGTAATCTTACCCAACGCGAAATTTTGCACCATTTTGGTCCAACACTATTCATTTGCACAATTTTGCACCAAAATGGTTAATGTCCTTATTGCCCTTCTTTTACATTTTGCACCAACTTTTGTTAAGGGTATGCTGTTCATTTGGTGTAACTTTTAGTGTAATGGGGTTGGAGATTATTTTCAGTTTGGTGTAAAATAATGCAAAAGTTACCCCAAATTTTGGTTTATAGGTAGATTTCTACTTAAATCCGTCATGGATTCAAGGAAAATGGCTGATCTATCAGTGATAAATTTAAGAACTGTAAATTTTTCTAAATTCTATTAAAAGGGATTTTCCAGTATTCCAGATAATGTTGTGATTTCTCAATAATTGGTTTGTGTTGCTTATACACGTCATGAAAAATAGCCCCATTATTGTTTTGAGATTTTGAACATGAAATCAGAATTGCTTTACTCTTCTTTTGATTCATACTAATGGTCTCCTTTTCTTCAGAGTTCCATTTAGTTTGCAATTTATCGATGTAATTGTTACTTTAATTACGCTACATTTATACATTTTTTTACATTGCTGTCACGTGGCAATATATCATTGAGCGGTTTAAAAAAAATAGTTCTCTCACCAATCAAATCTTGCCAACAAAGATGATGTCATACATGATGTATAAATGTGAAGTACAAGTGGCTTTATATCAGTTGCACAAGGCAGAATAGTTTTAGCACCCTTAACCTGAAACAGATCTTGTGACAACGTTGCTTAACTAACGAAAAAGTAATTGTCGCTCAAGTAAATGTACTTTTAAATAAGTGATTCTACTCGTTCCTTAACAACTCGTTCTCATGCTCACAGCTTCCTTGATTCTATCAACAACCAAAAATAGTTGAAATTTAAATTGATTTAATAAAATGCAGTAAACTATTTTGCTCGTTTGATAAGTAGATCCCCGATGATGGTAAGAAAAAGAGTGGTCCAAAATCATTGAAGCAACTGGCCGAGCGGTTATCTAGCGTTGAGTTCCGGTGCAAATTAAATGCTAAAACATCATTGAATCAGACATCAATCCATTTCATGGAACCAAAATAAAAATGTCTGAAATTTTGTCACCCGATACATGATAAAATAATAACTTCTTCATGGTAAAGGCGAATTGCATTTTGAGCAGTTGATGAAATTAAACACTATCCGCTTGAACCTTGTGCCAGCATCTTGGCAAGCAACGAAGCCAGCCCTGTTTTTCCTGAATGCACGGGCAAATCATCACTCTTTGTACTATGACTACGACTGGAGGCTAGGTCCTCACTGACGCTAGCGAGATTGTCGTCCGAGAGAAACAACTCCTTGGCCCTGTATTTCTTTTTCTTCGCCTTTTCCATCTGCCTGCCGGATTTCCAGGGTGAACTACACCCCAACAGCCCCTTTTATTTCATATCAGCTTCTTGAGCTATTAGAGATTTTGTTTTCAGATATATCGAAGAGCAGTACAAATAAAGCCTCAATGTGAAAGCAGTAAATTACTTACCTCCGATAAAATCCTATCCAGGTACAAGGTAAGCTTTCGTAATTCGTCGAAGAAATGCTCAAACGGAGGCTTTCCATATACTTCCTCCAAGGATGGAATTACATAAAGATAGCTTTGGCCACTTGCATGAAAAAAAGATAAACAACAGAGTACATAATAAGCCAAAATTACAACGAATGCAGTTGCGAAAAAGTCACTTGTTTGTTGTTATAAATCTCTCATAAGTCGGAAGACCTCACAGGCTGGTCCGTTGAGGGATTAAATCCCATATCGAATAAAGATGAAAAACATAGACCAATTTATAAAAGTTTGGGCTACTCCTCTTAATATTGAACCCCAAATCTTAACATGGTATCGGAGCTCATTAAGCTCTAACAAGCAATTCGATCCGATTAAGACTCAAAAAATTGATCTGTTCAAACGAGTCACCATCTTAGGGGCATGTTAAGGGATTAAATCTCACGTCGAATAAATATGAAAAACATAGACCAATTTATTAGAGTTTGAACTACCGCTCTTAATAAGGTTGACCTTTTAAAATAAACCCTAAATCTCAACATGATCCATCATTCTTGTCCTTGCTAATAGCAAATATATGGAAATTCCCAAAAACTGAGCCTATGATACAAACTGATCTGCGCAAGAAACACAATTTAAACCCTGACTACAACTAAGAAATCGAAAATTGATGAAAATAAAATTTGAGCTATACTTGCAACATCATCAATTCTTTAGAAGGTACAAAAAATGAACCATAACAATGACAAAGACTGATTCATTATCATGCTGCAGGATCCTAAACACAAAATATATGCTAACATCAGACCAAAACATGGATGGGATAGTCAACAGCTTGTAGAGGCCGAGTTAGCTCAGCCTTTGGCGGTATGCCAAATCCAGCATTGAGACATATACCAACCAATTTTCTTGTCGGACTGTTGGCTAGAAGTAAGAGGCCAAGACCAAGGCTAACTCCAAGATAATTTTGAGACGCAACTGCAATTTGGAAAACTAAACTGAATACCACGAAAAACCCATCCACCAGAACAAACTCGAGTGGTGACAAAACTCAAAGTGGCTCTATTTTGTTATATTCCAATTCCATTCATTTTATATCATTGGCTTGTCTTAGAAAAATAGGCACTTTGAGCGACACACAAAAAATCTCCTGATAGAGCACAATCAAAACATCCTACAAGTGTGTGGCATGGAGCCTTGGACTAACTATAAACCAGGGTGTTATGAAATATCACCACTACACAATGATCAAGGAATGGGCGAAGGGTATGGTTCATCATCCGCACAAATGTATTGGATGTATTACACAATCCGAAAGGCATCACCAACACTCAAATTGTGGAGTATAACAGCCCGCTTTGCACCTTGATACCGGGCTTAGTAGTTCCAATCGACACCACAAAGAGAAAACCCAAACCAAATCATGCCAAACCCTCAACCGGTTGCTCTCGGTTTTCTGCCTATACACGAGAACTGAAAATGGGGAATATAATAGCCACCTACTACAACCACTAAGGCTATAAGAAAATGAGAATCAATAGCACAGTGAAGCACTAAGCAAATAGGCAGAGAACACAAAGCAAATAGCCAAAGAGACCACCGCTAGTTTCTTCTCAAAATGGCTGGCTTAATTAATTCTAAGTAATGCACAGTAATGGGCACGGTAGATATAGGGTAGAATTAGGTATGGGCTAGGTCACAAAGTTTAGGCCCAATAGTGAATAAGTTAGTAGGCTATCAAACCTAAAGAGTCATCCATGTCTTGGGTTGAGCCATGAGCAACCCTAATTAAATTAGGTTGCTTCAAATGGCCCAAATGACTATGTGGTTGATTTACCAAATTGTGGTGTCGATGTTAGTTCAGTCATCTGGTCGATGCCGACTGAAATACACACACTTACATCATCGCCCGGGGAGGTCGTTTGACAACAATTTGCCTAACACAAATAAACTCTCGTGTTTTGAAAGCTGTCTTCAACTCATTCCAGAATGAAGATGAATATGATGATTACAACTCTTTAGGTTCAAATTTGCGGAATACCTTTACAACCCCCAACTAATCTAACAAATTATCCAGCCCGTGGAATACGAAAATGATATCATACTATGATTTTGTTAATGGCTCTGGTGTCTACGCACATCTTCTCGTCTTTTTGGAATAAGAAGGCTAGCACAACACACGGGCTAAGGCTCTCTCATTACAACCCTTTGCCATCAAACCCTCTATCGATGCAGAAAATCCGAAGAGGACTACATCTGCATATCCAGTGGCAATTCTTTGAAGTTTGGTATAAGCTCAGATGTGTTGGCAATTACGGTGAGAAGGAGCTTTAGATGTAATTCAATGGTAGATTTAGTAGGTGGGAGAAAGAATAGTATTTTGAATAGGAAGAGGAAATGAAGCATCATCAAGATCACCATGGAAATGGTATCCTGTACGAAAACTTAAGACAAAATATCTGACACGCTGCATAAAGAAGTAATCGTTTAACTGACTGGATCTAGAAATAAATCTTTTTCTTTGCATGAGGATCCAAATTAAGATCAGAAATGTCAGGTCAAGTTTGAGATGAAGTGTTACAACGTTCAACTGTTCGTTGAATATCAATCATGACCCCTTTATTAGTGAAAATAGAGTAGTGCCAAACAAAATCCGGCTATTCAGCACGGGATCAGACTGAGTAATGATGGCCTCGCACCTCCTAATGGAGAGACTGTTGGACTTGACAATTGCTTTATAGTGTTTTATGGC